GACGGACTGATTAAATGATTGACTCACTGACTGACTGACGGGCTGGCTGGCTGGCTGGTTACCTGGCCATGGTTGCCTGGTTGTCTAGCGGAATGGCTGACTTGACACTTACATGAAAGTTGTTAACAGATACCTCAGCTCAGTGGCTTACTTCTTTTTCAGCCATCAGAGGACTCTGGGAGCAAAAAGTTTTCGAACTCTAATAGTTTTGAAAAACTCAAGGGTAACAAAGTCATTTATCTCTTTGCAACTTAAATGTACTAGCATTCATTTTGAGTTAACTGAAGAGCGTGGGCACTGATGAAATTGGTCATATATTGGACTCAGTGCTTGTGTATTGCACATGCCATTCAGATCATCATAACTAAGTGTTCCTTCCTAGTCTTCCTAGGGACAGGATACCGAGAAAGTAGATATACAGGAATAGTTGCATCTCAGAAGAAAACTATGAATATGAAAGTGACGTCATTGTTGTGCTAGTGGATTTAGCACTGCTTTGTTAATCGTGGACATATTAAATAAAGAAACAGATGATGAAAATTGAACATAACCGTATTAAAAATCCCAACCGGTGGAAAGCTGACCGATTGAGGTATTCTTTTTCCTTGTTACAGCGACAATTACTCTGAAACGTAAGAGCACAAGTAAAGTTGTTCAAGTCCAGGTAAATCCGCTCCCTGTGCTTTTAACTTCCACGTAATACGGTCACGCAATCGCACTTAATGTAGAGAACGTAAATCTCAACTAGTACAGAAATTCTCAATTTTACATCTTTCGCTTGTTTGAGAAAAGAGCAGATCACTGCTGACACTTATTAGTGCCAGAGAAAATAGCTTGACGCATTAAATAATGAGCACATTCTATTTTGATTGTCATTTCTTTGTAGCCTGTGAGTGACAGTCGAGACGTCGCGGAGAGTTCGCTTCAGGTAGAACGGGCTTTCCAAGATAAAAGCGCCAGCAAGCTGTTTGTGACGAACGTACAAAATGAGACGTCTTTCCTGAATTGCNTCACTGTTAGATTAATTGAACTCATGGGAAAAAGACTTCAAAATAGTTTTAAATACCTATTGTAAAAATTGTCCTTCTATTGAGAGGAGTAGATATTGTAGCTGGCAAGGACTAGAAATAAGAGTAGCTTTGTGGACATATGTCTGATAGATTGTTATTAATAGTTTTTATCTACTTGGTTTTGAGTTTAACATACGATATCTATGTAATAGCCAGCAATATAAACTGAGTACGTAGTTGTTGGCAAAGTACTGAATGAATGATCAAGGTCACGTGTTTGCACCGCAGACGCGTGGTGCATTTCACGCGTCTGCGACATGACTCAGTAGGATG